GCACGCGCTGCCCGGCCTTGTCCCGGGTGTGGTGTGGGGGGCGAGTCTGAGGGTGGACCCCGCGGGGACCCGTAGTCCTGTCTGCGCACGCGCGGCCCGGCCTTATCCCGGGTGTGGTGTGGGGGGGCGAGTCTGAGGGTGGACCCCACCGGGACCCGTAGTCCTGTCTGCACACGCACGGCCCGGCCTTGTCCCTGGTGTGGTGTGGACGGCGAGTCTGAGGGTGGACCCCGCCGGGACCCGTAGTCCTGTCTGCGCACGCGCTGCCCGGCCTTATCCCGGGTGTGGTGTGGAGGAAGTACAGCCTGGCTCCCGAGGTGCGGTTGGAGTGAGGAGTCTCCTTCCCATGGGAAGCGTTCACAGGGACTGGCTGGAACAATCTTCGAGAACTCGGCACCTACGATGCATCAGCTCAAATGCTTTCCACGTCTTCTCTGCCAAAGCCCAGCCAGCACGGCCACTCGGTCTGTTTGTTCACACGCCCGGACACAAGTACCCCTCGCCTCCACCCCGCCTGATGCCACACGCCCCAGAGACGGTTTCCCTGAACGCTTCGAGTTTCGCCCAGGAAGCCTGCGAGGCTGCGGCAGCGGCTGCTCTTCCTCCTGCGCAGCCTCAGGTCACCTCCCTTTGGGCGCCGTCCCCTCTCACAGAGCTCCTTCCTCCGGCGCTGTGCCCTCGACCCTGTGCAGGGCTGACCCTTCGAGTCCGGCCTCGCCCAAGGCCAGTGTCGCGCCCAGAGCCAGACCGGGCCGGGCTGTCCGCAGACACAGGAAGCCCGGATGCCAGTGACCCGGGCGCTCGACCAGCCTTCTCAGCCTGATTCATCTTAGAAAGCGGCACTGGGGCCTGTCGCAGGAATTGCTAAGTTGCTTGAGAGTGGGCTCTGGGTGCTCTGCTGGAAGACTCACTTGGAGCATGACCGGTCTGTGAGGAAACTGCTCACCGGGTGGCTGGGTTTGGTGAGTCCCCTGGAGCATGACTGTCTGTGAGGGAGCTGCTCGCCGGGTGGCTGGGTTTGGTGAGTCCCCTGGAGCATGACTGGTCTGTGAGGGAGCTGCTCGCCAGGTGGCTGGGTTTGGTGAGTCCCCTGGGAGCATGACTGGTCTGTGAGGGGCTGCTCACCAGGTGGCTGGGTTTGGTGAGTCCCCTGGGAGCATACCTGGTCTGTGAGGGAGCTGCTCGCCAGGTGGCTGGGTTTGGTGAGTCCCCTGGAGCATGACTGGTCTGTGAGGGGCTGCTCACCAGGTGGCTGGGTTTGGGGAGTCCCCTGGAGCATGACTGGTCTGTGAGGGGCTGCTCGTCAGGTGGCTGGGTTTGGGGAGTCCCCTGGAGCATGACTGGTCTGTGAGGAAACTGCTCACCGGGCGGCTGGGTTTGGTGAGTCCCCTGGAGCATGACTGGTCTGTGAGGGGGCTGCTCGCCGGGTGGCTGGGTTTGGTGAGTCCCCTGGGAGCATACCTGGTCTGTGAGGGAGCTGCTCACCAGGTGGCTGGGTTTGGTGAATCCCCTGGGAGCATGACTGGTCTGTGAGGAGCTGCTCACCAGGTGGCTGGGTTTGGGGAGTCCCCTGGGAGCATGACTGGTCTGTGAGGGGGCTGCTCGCCAGGCGGCTGGGTTTGGGGAGTCCCCTGGGAGCATGACTGGTCTGTGAGGGAGCTGCTCACCAGGTGGCTGGGTTTGGTGAGTCCCCTGGGAGCATACCTGGTCTGTGAGGGAGCTGCTCACCAGGCGGCTGGGTTTGGTGAGTCCCCTGGGAGCATGACTGGTCTGTGAGGGAGCTGCTCACCAGGTGGCTGGGTTTGGTGAGTCCCCTGGGAGCATGACTGGTCTGTGAGGGAGCTGCTCACCAGGCGGCTGGGTTTGGTGAGTCCCCTGGGAGCATGACTGGTCTGTGAGGGGGGGCTGCTCGCCAGGTGGCTTGAGGTTTGGGGAGTCCCCTCGGCGCAAATGACCTGGTTGTGGAGGGGCTGCCTCCGTCCAGGTGGCTGGAGGTTTGGTTGAGTCCCCCTGGGAGCATACCCTGGTCCTGAGGGAGCCTGTCGCCAGGGCTGGCTGGGTTTGGTGAGGTCTCCTTGGGAGCCATGACCTGGTCTGTGGAGGAAACTGCTCACCCAGGTGGCTGGGTTCTTGGGGAGTCCCCTGGAGCATAGAACTGGATCATGTGAGGAACTGGTCACACGGCGCGGCTGGGTTTGCGGCGCTGAGTCCCCTGGAAGCAATAGACTGGTCCTGTGACGGGGCTGCTCCAGCCCGGGTGCTGGGGTTTGGGTGAGTCCCCCCTGGGAGCCATACTTGGATCTGTGAGGGAGCTATGCTCGGGCCAGGTGGCCCCGCGGTTTGGTGCAGGGCTTCCCCCTGGGAGCATACTGGTCTGTGGAGGGAGCTGCTCGCCAGGGAGGCTCTGGCGCTTTGGGTGAATCCCCTGGGAGCATGACATGGTCCTGGTGAAGGAGCCTGCCTACAACAGGACTGGCTTGGGGTTTGGGGAGTCCCCGCTGGGAGCCATGACTGGTCCTTGGTGCAGGGGCTGCTCGCCCAGGTGGCTGGGTATTGGGGGGAGTCCCCTGGAGCCATGGACTTTGGTCCTGGCTGGGGGGCTGCCTCGCCAGGTTGGGCTGGGTTTTTGGGGAGTCCCCTGGGAGCCATGACCTGGTACTGTGAGGGGACTGCTCGCTACCAGGTGGCCCTGGGTTTGGGGAGGTCCCCCTGGGAGCAATGACTGGTCCCTGTGAGCGAACTCGGGCTCACCGGGCGGCCTGGGTTTGGTGAAGTCCCCCCTGGAGCATGACTGGTCTGTGAGGGGGCTCCTTGCGTCGCCGGGTGGCTGGGTTTGGTGAGTCCCTGGGAGCATACCTGGTCCTGTGGAGCGGAGCTGCTCCGCCAGGTGGCCGGGGTTTGGTGACGTCCCTGGGAGCATACCTGGTCTGTGAGGGAGCTGCTTCGCCAGGAGGCTGGGTTTGGTGATCCCACTGGGAGCATCGGACTGGTACTGTGAGGAGCTGGCTCACCAGGTGGCTGGGGTTTGGGCGAGTCCCTGGCGCAGCAATGACTGGTCTGTGAGGGGGCTTGCTCGCCAGGTGGCTGGGTTTGGGGCAGTCCCTGGGAGCAATGACTCGGTCTGTGAGCAGGAGCTGTCACCACGGTGGCCTGCGGTTTGGGGGAGTCCCCCTGGGCATGACTGGTCCTGCTGAGCGGGGCTGCCTCGCCAGGTGGCTGGGTTTGGTGAGTCCCCTGGAGATGACTGGTCTGTGAGGGAGCCTGCTCGGACGGGCGCGCCTGGGTTTGGGTTGAGTCTCACTGGAGCAATACGAGACTCGGTCTGTGAGCGGAGCTGCTCACACAGGAGGACTGGGGTTTGGTGGTCCCTGGGAGCCATGAAGCTGGTTTGTGAGCGGGGCCTGCTCGCCAGGTGGCTGGTTTGGAGTGACTCCTGGGAGCATCGACTGGTCTGTGAGGGGGCTGCTCACTGGGTGGCCTTTGGGGTTTGGGGAGTCCTTTGGCGACGTATAACTTGGTCTGTGAGGGAGCTGCTCGCCAGGTGGCCTGGGTTACTGGCGTGAGTCCCCTGGGAGCGCATGACTGGTCTGTGAGCGGAGCCTGCTCGCCAGGTGGACACTGGGATTTCGGCGAGTTTC